AGCAATGGAGGCCAAAGCAAGTAAGAGGACAGCCTTCCAAGAACATTGCATGGCTGATCACCTTCATGGAGATTCGTCACAGTTCACTTTAGTATCTGCAACACAATAGAATCAATCTGATTGAATGTGAATATTTATACTCCCCCAGAAATCACACTCACACTGCACAATAGCCTCCTTTCAGGAATCTCAAGAAGTCATTACAAAAGATATGTGTGTCTGTGTATGTGCAAACATTGTGTTCTGTAATCTCAAGACTTTATAAGTACAATGGTTTATGTACACATCTACATTTTCAGCCCCTGCTGAGAAGAAAAAAGACGCCTAAGGGCTTACCTTTCTCTCCTAGTAAAAAAAGGTGAAAATTGTACATTTTCATTGCCAATGAAAGGCAGTTCCCTGCAGTCTGATCAGCTGTGGCAGCCTGTATTAATAGCTGAGGAGTGTAGGAAATGTATGACCCCAGGTTTGTTAATGCTGGGAATAATGTATATAATTCAGGCACAAATTGAAAATATGAACTTCAATTACAAAAGGTAAAATTCAAAAGACACATTTTCTCCCTCCTCTTTTTTTTTTTTAAAAGCAATACCTGGGATGGTTAATGGAAGGGGAAAATGGCTTTCACAAACAATGTACAGCCTGCCTTGCCAGAGGATTCAGAGGTTGGAGTGCCAAATTCAAATCTTTACCTATAAAGCATACTGAGAAGTGTAATTTACCATCCCACAGCCTAATCGCCTGCAGAAGAATGACAGTAAATTAGCCTTTCCTTTCCCTTATATACAATCCTGATTTCATTTGTTTCATGGATTAAGCACATACCCACACAAGGGGGAACACAACCATGGATATACAAAGTGTGATTACTGAAAAATTAACTCTGTCATCTCATCTGCTTCCTGACCTTTTATAGGTTGTTTCACCCAGTTCCTCATTTCACTAGGGTTATGTTCTCACTGGTATTCTGCTTATTTACTTGCACAGAATACTCATTTCTTATTAAACAAACTGACTATATAAGCCAAATCAAATAGAGGTGGGTGGGACAGACTCTTCTGCAGACTTATTGATTAACTGATTGCCAAAGGCAACTGTTTTCTACATATGATTCAGAAAATTATTGAAGAGGAAAAAGTAATTGAGTAAAATCAATCCAAAAATGTATTTTTTTTATTTTCTAAATTATCAACATAAAAATACCAAAAGACAAAATGTCAGCCTTGTGGTGCCTAATTATGAAGACATCTCTTGCAAAGTGTTAAAAAATAACCAATTTCTTCCTGTGCAATGCGAACGGATGGACAAACTTTTTTATGAAGTCAAATGCTGATCTTCACAGCAACAATCTGTAAAATTAAGATGATGCTACTGGGAAGAGTTCAACAGTGTTGTTCAGAATATTTAGGTCTATGGATACTTTTATTAATGGAGGATGAAACTGTATACTTTTTCTCAATTCCCCTTTCCCCCTCAAGAATATTCCTAAAAATAAATTTCAGAAGATTGGTTGACCGTTCAAAACACTTTGGAAGAATATATAGAAGGAATCAAAGAGTAACACCTGTTTTCTTCCATCATTTGCTTAGAGGCATTACCTGACTCTAAGGGTTATCTTATCCAGTGCTGTACCCAGGGCCGGATTTTCCTATAGGCTAACTAGGCTTCAGCCTAGGGCCTCAAGATTAAGAGGGGGCCTCAAGATCAAGAGGGGCCTACATTCAAATTGTTAGCAAAATTAAAATTACACTTTCACTATAGGTGAAAGGGCCTCATAAGTGGAATAGCCTAGGGCCTCTTTTCATCTAAATCCGGCCCTGGCTGTACCACTCCTTTATTCTCAATATTGAAAATTTAATTCACTGGATGAACCCTTGCTGTGATCCAACATCTCCAGATGTTGTGGAGCTATTTCCATTTCACAGGAAAGAACTTGAAACAATTGTTTATAGTTTAGGATTTGAAGCAAAGATGAATAGATCATAATCCTTTTTTGAGATTCCACTAATGGAAGGCTGACAGCCTCTGGAAATATGCCTAACAGATTTCTTGAAATATTGCAGATTTCTTGCAATAAAAATCATTTTGGATAATGCAACTGCTATCTCTGGACATATCCATACAATTATTGTTTAAGATGCTTTTGTCCCTGCACTTCTGGCAATTTACATTTAATCTGGTTTATGACAAATATGACCAGACTGAGGCATTTGTCAACAGTTTGCAAAATATTTCATCCAGACTGAAGACCACAAAATCTGTTCGGGGGGGGGGAGAGCTTCCAATTGCTTTCTTTCCTGTGGAAAAAGCTTAATTCAAATATATATATATAACCAAATTTGGTTATATATATATAATCAAAGACCTACATACACACACACACACACACACACACACATATATATATATATTGTAGTCACTACAAGATTTGTGATTCAACAATTGTTTTGACAAGAAATAATGCAACCAAGTTACTATTTTCTTTCTTTTTTCTTTAGCTAGCTAGTAAGTTAGAGAAAGCTAGCTAGCTTAACAAAAGTAATTAAAATAACTATTTTAGTTTTTCAATCACCACAGTGCTTAGTTATATGGGCAGTGATAAGAAAGGGAAGATCTCTTACATACCAGAAAAGGCCGTCAGCCATTACATTATTTTAATATCAAAATTGAAGGGGTCTTAGAAATTCCTAAAGATTACAGCAACTATCATCTCCCTTGAGGGATGATTCCTTCCTCTATGAAGTCACCAAGGAAGCGCCAGACTTAGCCTTGAAAAAATGAAAATGTTCCAGACAAAAATGCACAAGAGCATGTAGGAATATAACAAGAGTATAGATAGTTGTCAACTTATGAATGGAATTGAGACAGGGTTTCCAGTTGTGAATCAGTATGGTTCTAAGTCAAGGCACCCACATGACCAGATCTGATTTTGCTGCATTTTTGTGGTGGTAATTAAGTGAATCTACATTTGTTAAGCGAATCTCATGGTCAGAAATGCAAAGCCTTTTTTTTAATGGGCTTTTTTTTTTTTTTTTTGCTGGAAGCTAGCAAGAAAGCTGGCAAATCCCAGTCATGTGACCATGTGATGCTGATGCTGTGAGCAAGTAAAATGAGAAGGAACGGTACAACATTTTACAACAGCCAGAAGTGCTTTACATGCCATAAAGCACTTATTCTTGGTCCTTGTTATTGGTCCTTGTTATTTTAAAAGGTCATTGCCATAAGCTAAGAACTACCTGTACTTTGAAACTGCAGCCAGAAAATGCACTGGGGGTTGAATTAACAATGGGAAAGAGATGATTAGAGGATGAAATTATCTATTTCTATTGTCCAAAAAAAATAGTCACTGTACCATTCTAATGTTGAGTCAACTAAGTGATGCAGATAAGCTCTCTGTCTATTGAACTAACCTTCAAGTATTATACCAAAAAAATTAATCATTGAAATGCATGATTTGCAAATGTAAAAAAAGGGGGGAGGGGAGCTTGTAAAATGTGACTCAAAGAAAGGAGAAACATGTTAATTGTTTGTTCATGCAAGCACAGACCTTCTAACAAATGGGAGACATGGCTAAGAAGGTAGTAAAGAACTAATGCTTCTCATGATGGAACACAGGAGGATGCTATAAAATAGGGCATTCTGCTAGAATCTGCTTTCAAAATGAAACTTAGTTATTATTTGAAAAACTTTTATCAGTGAAAGCATTCTTCCCACCAGGTGCCAAACCAAATACCTCTTGATTCAATCCTCATCTTGGCCCTTGGGGGAACAGTCAGAGCTTCATGAACTTTCAAGAGGTAAAAAGCGTATCTCAGATGGCAACAATTAAGGGAGGAGACCCTTATTATTTACTAGAATCTCAGGTCAGCGTAAGTCAGCCTTTCCATAGTCTACTGTATCCTAACAACCTTACAAAGTGGATCGGGCTGAGTGATAATGGCCTGTTTCACATGACACTAAATAAAATTGTAAGTTATTATGTGCACTATCTTTGAAAATTGCCCTCCAACAGTTCATTTAGCTGTTCAAAATTTGTAGCTTACCCAATCAAACTAGAAATTCTGGTTTCCAAAAGCCCAGTGCAACTTTTTTCTGATTTTGGTGAAGCAACTCACAAAGCTTGCTTAATGAATCACACACAACAGGTAGAAAAAATGGTGGAATGTGCAGATTGACAGAACATTTGGGCTGAGCTTGTTATGTGAACATACAAGCAACTGGCTTAGCACCAACCAATGAGGTTCATGGTTGAACCAGACCTAAAACTCAGATCTCTCCAATCCTAGTCCAATACATTAACCCTTATATCCACATAAGCAGTTGTTTAAAGTCAAGGAATTATGTCTAAGGCCAATATTTAAAAGGGGCAGTTTATTCCCCTTTTAAATATTGACCTTAGACATTCCCCTCCCAAATATTTTGTACTTCGAGGGAAATGAAAGTAACAACCTTCAATCTGCTCTTCATTCTGGCAGACTAATCAATATGTTCATGTAGTTTTCTTGGCAACCATGTGAGAAATGTTTACCACTGCCTTATCCTAAAATTTCCTGCCCCACTTCTCACTCTACCCACAGGCATTTGCAGGCTCTGGTTACTCTTACCAGACTGATTGGTTTGACTATCCCCTACCCCTATTAATGCCAATGTCTATGGGCCTACATTTCTGCCTACAAATGCCTACAGAATTTCTGGATGGTTTCCCATATAAGTACAAATTCTGACGGATCCTTCTTAGCTTTTCAAGGAAACCAAGGCTGTCTAGGTGCCGCACCCAGCAGGGCAAAAAGAAATAGCAAGTCATTCAAGTATATTATTGTTCAGATTGAATCAGAAGTTTTATCTCAAATATTTAGATTTTTGTAATCCTAACCAAAAAGAATTGCAATCACCTTCACATCAAGCTTGTGGGATAAATCAACAATTCAAGCAGCACGATACCATCCAGAATGTGCTGCCTGGGCATGTAAGAACAAGGAGTTAATCATGCAATACTTAACTGTTTCAATGGGTAACATGTTGTGCAGCTGTTTGTAGGATAATAGCATGTCCTGCTGTCCTCTACATCACTATTGTGAGCTTCCTGGCTACAGAGGAAGATTTCTACAGGAAACAGAAATATTATATTAATGTTCTCTGCAGCAAATACATGTTCTTTAAACAGCACAGAATATCGAAAAAAATTGACTGGTCAAGATTTCCTGTCCTCATAAATGTGCAATGGATATTTCCACAGATTTTGTCTCATAGCACAAATGAATAATATCAGTGTTTCCTTGAATAGCTACCTGCAGAGGAACTCTGCATCCAAGAGTTCCCTATGGACTCTTGAATAGCAAAATCCTGTCAGCAGATGTATTTGGTGCTCAATGTTTGAAGCTATGTACCAAGCCTCCCTGAGGTCATTGCTTGAATCAGTATATTCTGATCTTTACTCCCTTTTGCATACTTAAGATCATGTCAACTATATTTAACTAACTGATCACTTATCCACAGGGAGAGGAACTTATACTTAACTAATGTTGTTGATATTCAATTGCAATTTAGGTGGCACAGTTAATGACTAAAGATGCTGGGATTTGTAATGCAGCAACATTTAGATAATCACAGCATTCCATGGCTTTAAGAGCTCAATTTATTATTACTCCCTGATGAGCATAACTACATCTGACCACCTTAATTTTGATCTCTTTATGAAACTACATTGGCCTAATTTCCGGGTGAACCTATTGCAAGTCAGATTAATGCAGCTTCGTCTGCAAACGTTTATATTTAGATATCTCTGTGAGTTGGATGCTATGTATCCACAAGCCTGACAAGTAAAGTATGAGAGGCTTCATGTTCAAGGATCATATGTTCTTGCAGTGAAAATTCATATCCAGAGTATATCTTGGTTGTGTCTGGGAACCAACTTTGATATAGCATTCCTTCTGATCTTCTTTCGTTGGTTGGTTGGAGGTGGGTGGCATCCAAATTGAATAAAATAAATAAATAGACTGTCAATTTTCAGTTTTTTAGTCCTACATGGATGTTATCAAATGTTCATCTTGGGCTACATTCTATCCAGCCAAAGATAATACTTTGCTTTCATTTAATATCTGTTGAATTATCTATAAAACTCTTTATATCCACGTTCACCTTTATTATATACTTGTGCTTCAGTATTTCCTCTTGCACAATATTACCAATTCCCTTAATGGAAAACAGAATTTTCAAGTATCCTCTTTGGTCAACCGTTCTATTAATCAGAAAGATGAATCATTTTTTCTGTTTTTAAGCTTAATCATTTCTATTATTATGCTTACATTTATGCTGAACACTGCCAAGCCCTGATCGTCTGCAATAGAAAAGAAGGGGCTGAAACACAACTATTCTCCTCTCAGTTCATGTTTTTAGGATAAAGGCTGTTGGAATAGACTATCATTGGGTGTATAAACACAGTCAGGGTTTGTCTGTTTTAATCTGATGGCTGTGACTTTCTTCCCAATTGTACCTTATTGCTATGTCTTTTGATTTTTAACTGCTGGAAATGAGGGAGTGAAAAGATCATCCTGCATGCAGTGTAAGATCTTTGCATATATATTTGCTAGGTTGTTAATCAGCATTTGGTTAGTAAAGTGAACTTCACTGTTTGTGTTGGTGAGGGTCTTTTTAAGTTAAGTACCAGTATTTGAATGAGGAGTAATTCCTGATAGTGAGAGCTATGTGTCAACTCTGTAGCGAACCTGGCTGAAGCCATCTTTCCCTGCCTCATACTTGCCACAAACTTTGAAAGGGGGAAGGGAGGGGGTAAGTTGATAGACTGGCTACAACAAAAAAGTTTTCTTGTGGGAACCAAGCTTATCCCAACAAGTGTCAAGGGAAGGAGAAGAGAAGTGACCAAGCAGCTTCCCAGCTACTTTCTATTGGACAATGTGACCAGTGACATCTGGGGAGGGAAATATCTGCTCTTTTAATTAGGGGGAAAACCACAGGAACTTTTAGAGTTGGTTTTCACTAGCTGTGCTGATATGATGTATCCAATAAACATGTTCTTTGAGGAATCTACCTGCCTTGGAGTTCTGCTTTGATGGATGTGTTACTCGGAACCCTGACTCTATGAAGCAATGGAACAACCTGTCTCCTGGTGTTATGGATCACTGGAGGTTTTCAAGCAAAGATTGGATTGCCCTTTCTTGGAAATGGTGTGAGGATTCTTGAACTTGGCAGGGGGTTGGACTAGATAATCCCCAAGGTATCTTCTCCATGATTCTATAAATCAACACAGCACTCATAAATATTTTCTACACTGGAGGTTGTGGCCAAAAACATACTTGTAAGTAAGTAAAGTAAGAAAATATGTTTAAATTAATTCCTACAAGAAGTTCCTTCCACCTCAGACCAAGGTGATATCAACAGGAGTACAGAGCATTTTGATAATAGTCTCATTCAATACCTTTGGACTGTACATGCAAATGAAAGACAGAAGCTGAAAACAGATGTTGCTGCATTTTGGCTATGGGATTTGGCTGAACAGACTATGCTGGCACTTTTACTCTGTCCCAGAATGAGCCATATAAGCTGCACTCAGGGAGAAGTATCTTCTTGGCACAAGGAAAATACTATATAAACCCAGAATCTCTTCCAGCTGATATAAACACTTATAATATTTTAGACATGTTTTGTAAAGTTCCAGGGTAAACTATATTGAAGAAGTACATAACTGGACATATACTCTTACAACACATATGAGGCAACCTGACATTCTTCATTATCATAATTTTATCCTATTAGTTTACCAAAAATATTAGGGTAACCTCTTCGATATACCCCATATTTAGCAATATATGCAAGATAGGTAAAGCTAAGAGTGAAATGACTGACTTTACAGTCAGTTTGATCAAGTCCTATATTCAGTTCATGACATCATACTGATGGATCTTTCAATCAGAAATGAAATCTGGCCCTAATATGAAACAGTATCAGATATTTTATCAGGACTCTCTGCCTTGTATTCCCTCAGGACCAAACTATATATGAGTGAAAACAAATCCAAAGCTGCTACTTGCTATTTATTTACACTTGGGGAAGGAAAACAATAGACTAGAGTTAAAATCCAGAAAGGAATTTTTTTACCTTTTTTCTTCTTGCATATAATGAATCTGGGTTTGCCTTTGCTCTTTAGATTAGTAAAACAATTTCCATATTTCCCACTTTACACATAAACATAATCATACAATTTCTCTGCATCACAAGGAATATAAACTTCCTCCTTTCTCCTGACAAAATTCTTCTTCACACCGTAAACAAAGTGAGAAATTCCAGCAGCAGCCCACAATGTGAAACTATGTTTTCATTCATTGATCTAGCAACTCTCTTCCTTAGCCCTGGGACCGCAGGATATTTTTTAAAAAAACTTCTGAAAATAAACAGACACAATAAAATACATGTTTGCAAACTCAGATATCGTACCAAATATCCAGGCCTGGTATTTGGGATTAGATGGAGTATTCCCACTCACTTAATGACTGATAGCCACAGATTATCAATCACATAAACACATGAAATGGTCTTAATAGACATTTTTTAATATGTGGTAAGGAATGAGACACATTACTTTTAAAACAGAGGATGTTCTGTTTTTGCAGTTACAATGAGAAAAGGCTATTTATGTAGCAGCAGGTAAAGCTTAGAGAGATGGGATGTTCAGTTTTAGAGACCGAGCATAAAAAGCTGACAACAAATGCCGTGTAAATCCCAGATTAATTTACCCAAATATTTTTTTAATCTGCCCCTGTTGCAAACAAGAATCTGAAGATATTCTGCTTGACCAGTAGATTGCTATTTTCTCTCCCATTTATTGTGAAGTTTTCCTCCCTCCACCCTTAAAAGGCACATGCACAACCTTTCATCTTTAATAGTTGCTCTGAGCATTGCTTAAACACCCAAAACAGTTTGCTTCATTGGTGTATTGACGCACACACAAATCTCATGTCTCCTTATTGCCCATTAAAGCTCAATGGGAGAACAAGAGCAGCAGCTGGCAGGCAACAAAATGAAGAGATTTCTGCAGCCAACAACATAACTACACATACAATGCAGTTTCAGAAATACGGTAGCTACAAATAGTGTTCAACTATTCCATCTCAAAGCTTCTTGTGGCTTTAGCATATTAAAATGCCTAATTTAGGAAAGGCCAAAGTTCTTGATGATTTCTCCCAAGAGGAGACTGTGTTGTAGACTGATTCCTTGCCTAGAGAGGAAGCAAGAAGTGGGGGGGAAAGGCTAGGTCATCTCCATGTCAGTTATAGAAGGCAAAGCAGGACTGAATCAGAGGCTGATTCAAAACAGCAATGTTTTCATTTATCAGGAATGATCATAAATGTTTTAACTCCAATTTTTTTTTTAACAGTCTTCATCAAACCAGACCAAATTCCACCAGTTCTTCCTTCACAAAATTGGAATCCCTGAAAGAGCCCCTGTATCAGTCTGGGAAGCTGCCAAATACATCATCACATTATCTATGTAACCTAGTCTTCTGGACTTAGATGTCCTTTAGATCAGGCCTGTCAATCTGGTGGCCCGTGGACCCGATACGACATGTGCAGGCCACACCCACTCCGGCTCCGCAAAGGCAAAAAACATCACAATCTGGCCCATGACGCAATGAGTTTGACACCTTTGTTTTAGATGCATCAGATATCAATTCTAATAATGTAATAATCCCTATTCACTCTAAAGCATCTGAAAAGCACCAGACAGGTAGTATATTTCCAGAATCATATGCAGAAAGGACTTTTTCATCATTATTTCTTAAGAGATGCCAAGAATTGGACCTACAACTTTTTGCATGTAAACACATGATCTGTCAATGAGCCAGATTCCCCGATTCCTGTATTCATAACTATTTAAATTTATACTTAGCCTTTGCTATTGGGTTCATTGTGGTCTACTGCAACATATTTAAATTCAGCAGTCCCACAACAATAAACAACTTGAACAGCAGGAACAGAATACGTAAACCCAGAAGCTTAAAATGTAGAAAGCTCTGACATATTACTTCAAGCAACAGCAAAATCAGCCTGTAAAATCCAAATGTCTTCCTAAGTAGGAAAGCCTTAACG